CAATGAAGCAAATATTATATTGCTTTTCCTCCCCGCCCGTCCACTTCCTTCTGTCTTACTTTCTTGTTGCTTAGACACAACTCTAAGAAGCAAAGGCTTATTTTAGCTCACAGTTTGTAGATTTCAGTCTGCAGTGGGCTCGCTCTAAGGCAGGGTAGCATGATAGAAGAGAAAGAGCTCAGGCATGACAGGGAGCAGAGAGAGACAGAAACAGGGGATGAGGGATTGGGTAGACCCTTCCAGACCACGCCTCCAGCCACCCACCTCCTCCAATCGGCCTTCACCTCCCAACACCACATTTAGCTGTAAACTCATCACTGACTAATCCGCTGATAAGTGTCACACATTCATGATTCCATTGCCCCCAAAGATCCCTGAGCACAAGAGAATTGGAGGTGAAGGGCATCTGGATTTAAACCCTAGTACTTGCCCTTCTTTTCCTTCATTTCCTTTCTCTTTTCTCCCTCCATTCCTGCATTCCTTTCCTCCTCACTGTTTCCTTTCTTTCTCCTTTCCTCATTATTATTTCCTCCTTCCTTCTCTTCCTTTTTTATGTTTCTTTCATTAACAGTTAGTTGCTTCTCATTTTCAGTAATACCTTGATCTACCAGTGCTTCTGTTCATGAACAAATTCATTCACAAACAGAAGCACTTGAGCAAAATTTTGCTCCTGCTTGAGAATTCTGCACATGGTAGGAAACAGGACCATCATCCGTCCTCTTTCCTACATGAACATAAACACAGCCTTCTTCCCCTGAATCCTGAAATAAATTAAGCACCTTAACTGAAATACCACTTGAATTTGTAATGAGTGTTTCATCATTTTAAAATGCAGGTTTTAGATAGAAAATCATGAATTTAAGACTTGGATCCACCACTTATCTGCAAGAAAGCAGTTAATAAGTTTCTAAAGTCTCTTGTCCCAGTTTTTCTATTTGTAAAATGAGGTGAATAATAACATCTAGGCTTATTCTACCTCATGCTTGGATGGAAGTTTGACGAGTGTGACTTTCTAGGCTGAATATTTATCATCAGCATTTTGGTGGTATTTTCTCCATAGTCTTCTAGTATTGCTAATGAGAAGTCACGTTGCTCTTTGCTTCTCCTCTTGATTCTGAGTTGCTGTATCAGCATCATCTTACTTACTTTTCTCCTTGCGGAGGCAAAAGAGTCAACACCTAAAGTTAAAGGAGGAAAGGTTTATTTTGTCTGACAGTTTGAGAGGTTTCAGTCCACAATCAATTGGTTCTAAGACAGAGTGATGTGGTAGAAGGACATCATGAGGGAGAAAAAACAGTTCACAGCATGAAAGGTGGAAGACAGAGAACAGCAAAAGTATCAAACAGCAGGCCAAGGCAGCTGGCCTGCTTCTGTCCCTCACAGTCTATCCAAGATGCATACCCTCAGGGCAGGCACCTTCACACCCAGGTGAGCCTTCCTGTTACCCACATCCAGACCTAGCCAAAGCAGTAAGTGGACTAAATTAGTGATCACACACCCTTAATCCCAGCATCACACACTTCAGATTCAGTCACCTCTGAAAAGCTCCTCCTGTAACCATATGAGACTTTGAGCAGACAAGACACAAATAATAATAAGCATCTTCTGTCCTCAGAAGCTTAAAACTCTGTTTATCTTTGGAGTTCTGATGATGTACTTGCTTCTTTTAAGTAAAAGATGTTTTCTTCCCATCAGTACCCTAGATCTATCCACATCAGCTCCCTGTAGATAATACTTGTGTCTACTTTATTCAGCACCTAAACTTAGCTCATTGCACTGAATTTAACTCACAACATTCAATAAAAAATTGTTAAATAAATGAATAATCTTTCCAAACTGAAAATGTTTAATGTCATCCAAATGTTAATGGTATACATTCAGTTGTATTTAAAATGACTAACTTTAACAAGGGTAAACAATTCCATGATTCACTGTGATTTCGCAGAATATATGTTATTATATCTTTCCTTACAGAAAAAAATGTTAAGTGCAAGGTTCATTGTACAAATTTTCTTTCTTGGTCTTGAAACAATCCAGAAATGCAGATGATAAATAAAGACTCTACCTCAAAGATACACCTGAAATCATTCCAATAAGAGATGGTAGAGCTGAAACTAGAACTTAAAATTGATTGTGAGGTCCAGAACTCATGTGGCTCTTGTCCAGATTCACATGCTTCTCCTTAGGTGTGCACCCTCCACCTGTACTCATTTCTCCCTTCATGCCTTGTGGAAGGCATTTATCATATGTGATCATTAATTTGTGAGGATCTCAAAAGACATTCTTCAACTAATTAACCTTTGTGTCCCCTCTTTCAGGCCCCTACCTACAAATTGTAATTAATTTTGCATAAATACAAAATATTAAAACCATGTATTTAATGTACAAATACAATGACAAGCATTTCTTTTCTTGCTTAGCCAAATCTATGTTTTGCAGTACAGAATGGGTTTAAAATTGAAGAAGGGTATTTCTTATTTGGATCAATTATAAACAAAGGAGTGATTTGTTAGTTTTACTTTTTAAAAAATTTCTGAGTCCTTTGAATATGTAATTATCATGGAGCATCATAACATATTAATAATTTTCTCATGTGTACATGGTATTTTCTTAGAAAATTAAACCATAAATCTCAATACCTAAATGGAAATCATTCATTCATTACCCTAACACACAAAATATATTTCTAAGATTAGTTAAAAATAAAAAATAAATATATGCATATTTCTTATATTTTAATTTGGTAAACTAAATCTTCTTTATATGATTATTGATTCTTACAAATTTTAAAACTACAAACTAATTTATTTTAATTTTCAAAATACAGTATCACAGTCAAAGCTTATTCAAGGTGTTTTTTATAACAACTAAAATCTGAAGGTAATTTTTCAACTAAAGATCTGATTATATACTTACTTTCCAACCTTACAAAAATGTAGAAGCAAGCTAAAGAAACACAAACCAACTTGCCAGCCTAGCACAGAACCTCCTAGAGAATGAAACATAGAATCCACAACTACAGCTTTCAGTTACAAAAAGAGAATCAGTTTTCATAAGTCAGCAAGATAGAAATCAATATACTGTCTTTTCTATGCTTTTGATGGAAACTAATGCAGGTACAAGTTTTGCCTCTGATTATGTGTGAGACATAGCAGTCACCAATTTAGCAAATCACAACATAGTGAGTTTAAAGAATTATTTCAGAATCCACTATAACACCAGTACTGTTACAAACACAGCTATTTATGGTTAGCTTAAAATGTCTCTCTAGGGCTGGGCATACAGTTCAAAGGAATAAGTACCTGCCTGGAAAGTGCAAAGTCTTGAGCTCAGTCCCTAATTCTGCCTAAATAAATAAAATGTCCCTCTAAAAGGAGGACAAAAAGAAAGGGAAAATATGATTGCACATGATTTATACATGTTGAAATCAATTACCACCAATGAAATATTAAAAGGGTAAGTTCAGCATGACTTTAGCTAGTTTAAAGTCAAGCTAAACTTTCATAATGAGGAAGCAAAATAATTCAAACAGAAACATAGAAATTTATTTGATTTGTATCTACTCATTGCCTAGAATGACCCCGAATATCTTTATTATTATGATAAAATAAATTATCAATTCAACTATTACAGCACCTTCCCTGTCTCACTGGTGTACATAATTAAAACATACATGGCATTCATACTGACAATTTTTCTCTCCACAAATACAAAGAAAAGCCAATGAAAAACCTTGAGTCATTTTATGTTTCAGTCCAAACCTTAAGTGTACTGAATGTGAAAACCGGAAGCAATCATTTCGTAGGTGAAGCAACTGTATCCAATGGGGTTAATGATACTTGACACATGAGATTGTGTGCTTGTACTGCTAAGGGAAAAGGGTAAATAAACTGCCATACTTGAAAAAGAGTGATGTCACAATGTTTCCAGCAAGACAAATAGACTTTAATCCAATATAGTTGTTCCAGATGCTGACAATACCAAAATTACTCTGGATATACACTGAAATTATAATGAATCATAAGATAATGCCATCACAAAATGTAGTCTTCCAACAGCACAGTGATTGTACTTTTCTCAACTTATAAGCAGGATTGCAATTCAATAATGTAATTGTAAATGTGTGTATATAAAATAAGTTATATTTTCTTGGGTAGTATCTCTCTCCCATTGACAATAACCAGGCTTTAATCAACAAATTTAAATTTTTCTTTATTCTTTCACATGGGCCATTTCATTTTTCTAACAGAACGCTTCCAAAGTTAGAAAAGCACTACAGCACTACAGCCCAGCCTCGATCCTGCTAGTACAGAGGCTGTGATTGGTCATGTCATGTACATACAGCCAGTACATTCGCATCACCATACATTTTTTAAAAATTACTAGAGGACAGCCAATTAAAATAGGACAGTCAAAGCTGGTTCAGACAAAATGCAAAGAAGAATCTCTGATTTAAATATTGTACATTTCTAACCCAGAAAAAGATTTGACAAATGCATAACCTCTCTTGTAAAACTCTAGTTTACTCCAGCAAGTTACCAATGCAAAAGAGAAAGATAAGATTTATATACAGAAAAGCATTGTGCAAAACAGGCATGTTGTGTAATAAGAAGTTTGTGAAATAACTTTGTCTTTGAAATGCAGAATCATCTAGAAAGTTCATCAAAGCATTCTTTCAGGAAATTGAGCCTGTCATTTCTGGTCTCCTACAGCCCCTCCCAATAGGGAACCTTCACAACTTTGCACTTTAAAGTCCTAACGCAATGGAAGGAACCTCTATGCTTCAGAAATAAAATCATTTCATGCTGAGACTGAAGAGATCTAATCAGAAAATAAAATGATGGCAAAGACTGCACAGGTTCCTCAGGAATGCAAAATACTTGGGATGATTTATTATTATTATTATTATTATTATTATTATTATTATTATCATTATTCCTGCAGAAAGAGTGGGGGGAGAAGTAAACAAACAATAGTTTTAAGTTCTTGCATTTACTCACCAGTTTCCTAAATGTAGGATCAGTAGTAACAACATCAACCTCACCCCTCTACTTTGACTCCACAGAAGAAAGGGGGAGAAGAGAAAAGCTTCCCAAGAACCCATCTGGATCTCTCTGGCTGTTGGTGCTGCACTGCCTCCGTCTCCAGACCAGCACTTTCCCTCCCACCTGAGCAACAGCAGAGTAGCAGCAGGGCAAGAGCGGAAGGCTGCACACCTCCTCACCAGGTAGGATGCGACTCCCGGCGGAACCGAGGGATAGCCAATCAGACAGAGAGGATGAAGGCATAAATTATCCCGAAAAAAGCTGGGCCAATCAGTGGTCCAAAGAGGCGGGGCTTCCCCTACTAGAATTCGAGCCCAGTAGGGAAAAGGGCTCCTGTTTTTTCTAAAAGAAAAATAAAAAACCACTTCTCCCTCCCCGCAGCAGAGAAACGTTTGAATGGCCTTGACAGATCCTCCAAAGAAAGAAAAGGCTGCCTCCCTCTTCCCTCCTGCCTTCCTTCCCCAGTTTCCAGGCACTTGGATTCCCAGTCTGCCTCTCCGGAGAGACCCGGGAAGCACGCAACGCCTAACTGGCTTTCCCCGGGCTCGTGAGGATTCTGATAATCTGGATTAATTATCGTTTGTTAACTTTGAAGTTAGGGTGATATCTCATTTTTCTTTACAGACCTAGTAGCTGGCGTATTGCCCAACACAAAGGAGCTCGGGAGACATTGAATATGTGTTTGCGGGAACGAACGAAGGACTGAATGAATGAACGAATGAATGAGAAGGCTCCTGTATTCTCTGGGCACTCACACTCTCTGCCCCGGCCCCGTCCCCGCCTTTCCAGCGACAGGATTGGCAGTGTACTTTTCCCACCAAGAACCAAAGCATGACACTAATAAAGAATGGCAGACAAGAAGCGGAATCATTTTTCAAACATAAATACAAAAATCCGATCTTGGAAAGGCTCTTAGGCACTGTAGGGATACTACGTGGGTGATCCTTGCTCTCTCTGCCCTGCCTGCTTGCCCCGGCGTTTGTTGGGCTCCAGTGTTCGGTACCTAACTTCTAGAGGCTCTGCTCTAAGTTCCTACGGGAGCCCTAGAGTTGTCATGGCAACCAGAAAGCCTCTGGCAGCTGGAACCACTGCACTAGCAAAGAAGGCGGTGGTGGAGAAACAGGCTCTGTGCCCAGCCATCTTCTGCCTTTACGCCTTGCTAAATCCCTGCTTCCCACGGAAGTCGCCTGAGGTTGGGATCTTGGCTGTCCCATTAATCACTCCCAGCCAGCCACCTAGAATTGCCAAGCTGCAGGGCTGACAAGAACTGTACCACCTACTGACTTGAGAATATTTGCTTCCCAGCAAACATTTCGAGCCAGAAGTAACAGTGTTTGTGCACGGCGGTAAGGAAACTGTTGCTATGCTGCCCACTGAAATCACTTAGAGGAACTGAAAAGGGGTAACAGGGTCACTGATTTTTTTCTTCTTCTTCTTTGATGAAATTTTTTCGTGGCTGAAACTGTAGTACTAGGCTTTTCTCTTGTCTGTGTGATTCTCCGTCCTTTCAACCTTAGTGAAAATAGGTATTTACCGTCCTCGTTCGTCTTCTGCTACTCCACGTTAACTACACAACATTGTCTCTTCTAGAAACCGTGTACATCGAAGTAGGTTATTCCAAAAAAATTATGAAACAGTTAAGGCTTGTCACAAAATATCTTGAGCTGATTAAATTTAAGTAAAATGTGAGAATACAAATGCAGCTTGTAGGTTTTCTGTTCCCCCTCCACCCATCTCGATTGAGAATGTACTTCGGATAGTTATTTAACTGTTTCACTGGATACACAAGCTAATTCACTGATCTGATTAACCAGGGAAGTCGGAATTAGTTCGCTGGAAGTTTGTCATGAATAATAAATACTTGTCTAGTTACCCCTTGCATTTTGCCAAGATTAGGCAACAGTTTTGCAATATCAGTGGGAATATGATATTGCCTAATGTTATATCACATACTTAAGGATCTTCTCATCAGCGATTCTTAAAGACATCTTACTCTTACCCTTCTAATATGTAACTGAAAGATGCTGAGAGAGCCTAAAGAGAAATTAATGGAGAGGAAAGGAGAAGTACATATCCTTAGGTAGTAATACTGTGCATCATTATTCTTGTAAAAGATCAAGGATTTAAAAAAGAAGAAATTTCTCATATTTCTCTAAATCTGTATTTGCCAATTTTGTGCTAAAATATTTTTCAATTTGTTTTCAGTTTTCTTTCATGCACTATTATCTGACTTTTTTGTAATGTACATCTTCTCAGAACCTGATTTTAATCTGTTGTACGCTTATTTATATTTCCCTGGAAGCTACGTAAAAGATACCTAAGCCTTCTGGAGCCTCAAAAAATGAAAATAAAAGGATGTTGATTTTGTATATAGGTCATACATTGGCCCTAACAGTCTTTCCCATTTCCCGTTTGATTTAATAAATGAGCCGAGTGTGTGTGTTTTGTGTGTTGTGTTGTGTTGTGTTGTGACACCTACATACTTAAATTCTGAATAAAGAAAATTAGTACCTTGCACTCACTAGGCAAGCTGCACTACCTAACCAAAGAACATTCCAGGGGAAACAGACCAAGTGTCTTGTTCTGGATTATAAAACCAGAATGCGCTGCAGGTAGGTAACTGCAGAAAGTTCTCTGACTTTCACTGGAGCGCTGGTTTTCAATTAGAGACAGTTCAACTCCATAAGAATTTGAGTTTCCAATAGTTATAACCTATATGTGTGTATTGGGGCATGACCTCCTGATCCATAGTGGATACAGGTTAAGTTTATTGCTATATAACCTAAATATGCAAACAAAGATCTATAGAACTCATACTATCAATAATTCCAACAGCAAGATGTACTTCTATAATAATAAGGAGGACTGGTAAGCAGACTCAGCCTCAAGCGATCATTTGCTTGCATTTGCACTGAAACCCCACTGTCCTTCCTCTTTGATTTGACTGGCTAGGTCACTGCCATTATCTCTGACTCTTGTATCTAGTACTAATGACTATCAATATCAGCTTTCATTTTACCTCCAAATTATTCAGGAGTCATTTTAGAATAAAACACTTGAAATACTTACCTATTAAAATGCAAATTTATGGGCTTTACTGTGGATCAGAACAATAGAATTTTTCAGCAAAAACATCTTCAGACCTTCATAACTTGGAGTTTGAGAATGATTATTCTGCCATCATTTCACCAAATAAACAACAAGACCATGAGCTGTTCATGTACATACAACTGCAATCAGCAAAGTAGGGATCTAGCCTGACTCATCCTGCATTATCCATGCATTCAAAAATAACCCTTATGAAACTGTAGTGTTTGGCATTACTGCTGGCATTAGAAATTCAATGGGAAGTATGACTTATTTCCTTATAGTCTGGTTTCTTCTTTTATAAAATAAAGTATACAAATTCTACTTAGCTTATGATGTTGTTACAAAGTTTAAATAAAGGAATAAATGAGAATCCATTAAAATGGTGCATAGATAATACAAATTTCTAAAAATGCTAATCACTATTTTACTATCTCACCGAGAGTAGATCCCAAATCTAATTACCTCACTCCAGGCCCTACCGTAGAACATTTCTAGAAGATGATCTTGAATAAAAAGGACAAAAAGGATCACTACCCTGATGCTTTTGTCTAACTCTTGATCTTCCCCTGCTATTTGGCTTCTCCTAAGGAGACATTCTATTCTTCCTGCCCTCATGTACTTGCTTTCTAACCTTCAGGATCATAAAGTTGTTATCCAATCATATCTTTTGTCTTACAATATACAACTGCATTAGGCTAGGGAACTCTTCCCTCTTCATATGTCCAATTCCTCCTTATTCTTTCTGATTAAGTTTAAGAGACATTGTTTCTTTAGCAAGAAGTTTTTATTGACTGTTCACTATATTCTAATCAAAACTACAGGGCTGATCTATAGAAAGACTTAATTTTTTTGAATACTATGTATCACCAGCCATGGTTCTTAACAGTTCCAGATTGTGAGTAGGTATACTTATCTATTGACCTGAAACAACTAATTCACACTTGTACTAAAATATAAATCAAATTTTCAGAAATTATCTGTCTGGCTACCCAAACTGCAAATTTTATTTTTAGATTTAATATAATAATATTTATAGTGACTATCAGATATGTTAATATATATATATATATATATATTTGATTATTACCTTTAATCCCCTAAAATGCAACTCGATGAAGGTTAGGATCTATATTTTACTTTTTTTTCTTCATTGTGAGCCTACTGGCCAAAGCAATGTTTGGCAAGTAATAAGTATTCAATATATATCTGAATAATGAAAAAGAATTCAATGCAAAAATTGAATGGGCAAGCAAATGAATGAGCTTGGTGTGGTGTGCTCATGCCTGTAATCGCAACACTCTGAGGGGCAGTGGTAGGAAGATCACAAGTTTAGGTCCAGCTTGGACAATTTGGAAATTTGTTGAGACCCTGTTTCCAATATATAATAAAAATAAGCTATGTACATAACTCAGTGATAAGGCCCTGGATTCAATCTCAGTAGAATAAATGAATATCTTTAATTGTTTTATATATTTTGGAGTCATTAAGGAATCTCTTTTCATATTCATATAGTTCAAGGGTAAAATTTCAGTCTTTGGTGCTTAACTTAGTCCTGCACATCAGATCATATTTTTATCTATTTTATGAATTACAGGTTGCACAAAATCAAAATTAACCAACTCTTCACTTTCATTTTATGAAAACAGTTTATTTATGACCAACTGAGCTAAGGTTCAATGCATAAGAATTCTATTTATTTATCGTTATTTTTCCTGTATCTTAGGGAAGAGTCTACAGGGTGTTCAGGGTCTCACTACCTGATCGACTCATAGTGATTCTCCTGTTTACAGCCTCCCAAGTGCTGGGATTACAGGTACCGCCACCATGCTGTCTCCATTGCCACTGGGGGCAAGGCCGACACAGCAGGCCCAGAAATAGAACCCCCAGCCCAGCACCTGCTTGCAGGCACCTTAATTCGTTGAGCTATTTGACCAGCCCTCGCATAGGGATTCTAAATAACTGATGTTAT